TTATTTTGTGAAACCACCTAACGTGAGACAGAGATCGCAGACATCTATGATCGAAAGCAGTCAACCTTTTCATGTCTTCAACGCGTATTGGCCATGTTTCAGAGCCATAGAGAAGGACGGAGCGAACTGATGAGCAGTACACACGTCCCTTGGTTGATAACCGGATGTCACGCCTACGCCAGAGATGGTGTAAGTCAGCGAAAGCAGCTCGAGCTTTTCGGATCCGTGCTGAGATTTCATCGCCAATCAGTCCGTTGGTGCTAATACAACTTCCCAAGTAGGTGAAGTGGTCAACATGTTCTATCACTTCACTCCCTATCACTAAGTTAGGGGTTGACGTGGTCCAGTCCTGTAGCAGCATCTTACATTTTGCAGGGGCGAATCGCATGCCAAACATACGAAGATTGCTGCTCAAGGTGTTCAGAAGACTCTGCATTTTGTCAGCATCCTCCCCTAACAGGACTATGTCATCTGCATATTCTAAGTCCATTAGATTATTCCCTGGTAACAAGTCGATTCCTAAGTCACTACGTTCAGTTAAGGATACTTCCATTAGCATATCTATGATGAAGTTAAACAGAAATGGGGAAAGTGGACATCCCTGTCGGACACCACTGGTTGTTACTAATTCAGATGACAATTCCCCATAAGCCCTTACACGACTACGTGAGTTTGAATAGAGTGCCTTGATTAGTGCAATGTACTTTCTTGGCACTCCCTTCACAGTCAGACATTGCCATAGTACTTTTCGGTCCACGGAGTCGAAGGCCGCCTTCAAGTCAAGAAATATGACAATTGTTGGACGCCGAAAAGTGTGTCTATGTTCTAGAATCTGTCGAAGAGTGAAGATATGATCTATGCACCCTCTACCTGGTCTAAAGCCTGCTTGATTTTCCCTTGTCTGTTCCTCCCGAGTTCTGCTTAGTCTATGCATGATTACTGAGCCTAGGATTTTAGAGACTATGTTCGTTAGGCTGATCCCCCTATGATTATCACACGAGGACTTGTTTCCCTTCTTGAATATCGGTATAATGAGTGACTTACCCCAGTCTGATGGTACTGTCTCTGATTCCCAGACTTTGCCTAGTACCTCAGTTAATCTACAAACTAGTATGTCACCCCCATATTTAAACACCTCCGGAATAATTCCGTCGGGTCCTGCCGCTTTGCCTCGTTTCAAATTACTGATAGCTTTTGTAACCTCACCTACAGACGGCGGACCAGTGTCTATATCCCATTCGGGTACGTGGTGGATGGCGGGGAGGTTCAGTGTGGCTGTAGGCAAGTTAAATTGTTCCTCAAAGTGTTCTTTCCAGCGTTCAAGGCGTCTATCCTGAGAGCTAATTAAGGAGCCATTTTTCTCAGAAATAGTCTCACTTATGAATTGCCTTTTCCCGCCCGATTCTGTGATGAGTCTAAAGAGTTGCCTAGTGTTGCCTATCGCCAATGCTTTTTCCATCTCTTTCGCCTTTGTCACCCACCACTGTTCACGGTCCTTGCGGAGACTTTTAGTAAGTTTCCTTTTGTGCAGCTTTCGCTCCTCATTGAATTCGGAGCTCGCCGGAATAAGTCTTCTAGCATCTATCAGTTCGGATGAGGCAGTCGAAATCCAGTGGTTTTTACTCACCTTTGGATTTGTCTTATTCACAGCTTTTACAGCTGTATCTATAGCTGACTGAATATTCTTCCAGGCTTCTCCAGGGTGAGCACAGCTGTCGGATTCAGATATGCGTTTAGCTAGTTCTTCCTCAAATAGGGATTTAGTTTCCTGATCGAGCTGGGGGCGTAATGGTTTTACCGCCAGCTGTTTCCTACGTCCGTTCAGTCGTAAGCACACACGAGCCCGGACCAGTGCATGATCGGTATCTACACACGTGTTCCAGAAGGAGCGACAATCTCCTACCGACCCACGCCAACGATAGCTTATTGCTATGTGGTCTATTTGTGTCCAGCGTTGGTTTGATGATGGGGGTCGCCAGGTTAAACAGTGTCTCTCCTTGTGTTTAAAGTTAGTGCTTACAAGAAACAAATGATTATCTGAACAGAACTGTAGGAGACGGTCACCGTTGTCGGTTCGCTGGCACGGAACTCCATAGGTGCCACCGACATCCTTCTCAGATTGACACAATTTCCCTACTTGAGCGTTGAAGTCACCAGCTAGAACGACTATATCTGAGCGTTTAGCCTTTCTCACCAAACTAGACAGCTTTTGGTAGAACTCATCCTTCGTTTCATCCGAACTGCAGTCAGTGGGGGCGTAGGCGGAGATTACGAAAAGGCATCGGCGAGTAGTGCAGTCCTTTCTCCTTCTTACTGATCCGTTCAGACGGACAGCACACATTCGGCTATCTACTGGGATCCAGTCAAGCAATGTCTTTTCTGCCCTAGTACTCAGAGCTATCCCTACGCCAGCTAATCCCCGTGAACTAGCTGTGGCATCTCCTGACACCCTCAAGGTGAATTTTGAAGATTCATCCTGTTGGCCAGGTGGGGTTAGGTGAATAACCACACTTGGGTCTTGTATGCGTGTTTCTGAAACACAACATACATCAATGGCTCGAGATGCCAGGGTCTTAGCTAGTGATGCTTGTTGTCCTATTTGGCAAAGTGTCCTTACATTAAATGCTCCTATATGAAATTGGTGGCGTGGCTTTAGGAGACTATCCGTGGTGGTTTTTTGGCTTTCGTCGTTTTTAGTGGACGCAGAGTGGAGAGGAAGTGGAGAGCTATCAAGTCGAGGAGTTGCATCAGTGGAATGAAGGCAAGATGATAGAGATGAAGATGAAGACAAAGATGAGTGAGTAATAGAGAGGTTTCGTGTGCATTTCGGATTGTGAGGGCGATTGTTACTTCCCGGCTGCCCACACCGTGGAAGTTGGTTGCGTGACCGCAGAGCCCAGGGGACAACTGCTTGAGGCCGGTCACACGCGGCCTGTTTTTGTTCGTTCTTTTTTGTTTGGTGTGTCTCAGTAGCAGATTTATCACTCCCGCCCTGTGACACGGCAGCAGGAAGCGCGGTCGTTGTTAATCCGGGCCACGGCCGATCCGGCATGAAATTTTGTAATTTTGTATTGGACATGATGTTGGATTGGGTAGCTGCTTTTTGTTTAACCGCTATCCAAACAACCTGCCTGGCATGGTAGAACCTCAAGAGACATAAGTCTCAGCCAGTATAGCTTGATTAGGTCATTGCGGTGTTCAAGCCCGACCACCACGTCAAGGTAGCAGCTTTCGGTCGGAATAATCTCGTTGACTTAGAACATGCATGCGGATGATATAGTCCTTCTAGATGAAGAGGCTGACAAAATAGAGTCATCTGAACCCCTTGAGCAGCACTCTTCGGATGTTTGGCATGCGATTCGCTTCTGTCCAAAACAAGATGATGCCGATGCGGGACTGATTTGCACTGACTCACAGTTTAAAGACAGCGGAGTTGTATCAGCCCTAATGAAGTGGTAGCTGACGAACCCTCACCGCCAATACAAGAGACTAATATGGAATTTGCCAACTTATTATCCCCGATGTAGAAGTGATATCCGGTTTTCGATTAAAGGATGTGTGACCATGCAGCAATTCGTTCAGTTCTCCTTTATGTTCGTAAGAAACGGCCATTTTAAGTGGGAGATAAGAAAAGATTAGTCGTCTTTGATCCCAAATGCTTGTGTTCTATTCCCCGTGGTGTGGTATAATATGAGAAATATTGAGTCTAAGCGTAGTGCCTTAGATAAGGAGGGTAAATCAATCGATCAGATTGTGAAGTTAAGTTGATTGAGATGGTTAAGACAGGTACCAAGCCATAGCCTTCTTCAGTGAGCAATATTAGATTACATTAGATTAGGTTGGAAAATTGTTTGTGGTTCTCACACCAAGACCTGGAATCAGTCCATGTAGACTATGACAGTTGTTTCCAGTCATAAAGGGAGGTTTAGGCTACCTGACTGGAGTTCTCGCGGTGCTAAGAACCTATGTTTAGAGACTTGGAGATATGGCTCAAATCGTTGCCAATGACGCAAGACGCATTAACATCTCGTGACCATCCATGTCCATTAAAACTTCATATTTTTCCATAATATTCATAATTCCATACATTTCACTATAGCGTTTTTGAATAGCTTTTTTGTTTCCATTTTGTATACTATATGGCAAATTGAACTATTGCACATCAGTTCTAAGTTCTATGTTGAAACTCGGTCAGCGATAATATTTCCAACAGGCTACTTTGGGCTAGCAGCAAGAGCTGCCTTCACTTCATACTGACCGGTGAGGAAAGACTAGTAAGCGAAAAAGAATTCTGGCAGTGGATCAACCAAGAACCCATTGGTGGCCAAACAAAAACATGGCCTCATCAATCCATGAAATCCTTGACAGTTAAACTGAGTCAGGCAGGGAGATGCAGACTTCCAGGTTGGGACCCTCGGGACTCTAGGAATCAATGGCTGGAGACAATAGGTGACATGGCTCAAAATCGTTGTCAATGGCGCAGATGTATTCAGTCTCTGCAATCTTTCATATTCCTTTCTACCATTACCCATTCTGTTTCACTCTTATACTTGTCAGACTGTATTGATTCTCTTCACTCATCTTCTTGTCTACATCTGTGTGCTATTTGGAAGGTGGCAACTCGAACTGCTGCACTTCGGTGCCAAGTTCTATGTTGAATCCAGACAGAGACATTGGTCAACAAAACTAGTATCACCTAAAATACCGTTGTTGCAACACTAACTTGAATTTTTTTTGGCCACGAAGGAATATATATATATATATATAAAGACAAACAGTCTTCAATTTATAAAAGAGCCAACCTGAAGTATCTAGCAGTGTAACTGCAAAAATGGACTGTGTTAGGCGAACTCGCACGTCAAAATGTCTTAGTAACGCACATATCCTTACCCTTTGCGATATCCTGCCTACCAATTATTCACACTACTACCAGTCAAAATCAAACAACAATTTAATAACTAAGTTATAAAGAACTTTAAAACATTAAAATATTAACTAACGCTGATTTCTCCACAGTAGCAAGTGTAAGGTACGTTGAACTATGTTCACATTCAAGTTCGTATACCTCCTCAACTTCCGTAGTATTCACTACAATCTTCTACAAAATTGAAAACATTAGGAAGTTAGATGAAAGGCCAAACTGAACTACAAAAGTGAAAAATATTATTGAAAGACAACTAAAATTCAAAGACGATTTTTTTAGAAACTAGATGGAGCCCCGTAAAACCTAACGTAAACAACATGACTACTCATACTTACCTTCACATCATGAGCTGACAATAAATTTACGATGTGATCCATGTTTGTCAAACAAATCAAAATACTAAAGCTTTGAGGCTTCTAAGTAACATTATGCAACCCCATCCAGGAATGAGGACTTATTTTCACTTTCGAACATGTATACAGCACAGCCAAACCAAGTACGCCTAACAACCTACGAACTCAGGCTACACACCCGTCAGTGCGAACAATCACTTTTGATTAGTACACCAAAAACTCTCCGACATCGATTCCAAATGGGGATCAAAGGCTTATTCTTGCAAGTTATTTAGAAATAATGCGATACTAAAGAAAGTCCCAAAATACTGCGACAAGCAGCCCACAATAAAAGGGTCCCCAAAAGGCTTGATGGCAGTATATGCTGTCTCTCGTCCTTTTTTTGGAGGTTTTTTTGCGAAAGGTGCGTCAAGGAAAACTAGTGTGCCTAGGTGGTTTAGATACTCCAAAAGTCAAATCACTCGGAGAATCTCAATAAAAAGGCATATTCTTGAAAAGTTTTCTGCTTACACACGACACCTATAAACACGAAACCAGGAAATATGTGATATCCAACGGACGAATGATAAACCAACTTTACAATAGTAATATTTCTATAAACATAACAACATGTGAACATACCAGATTTTGCTGTTCGTCGCAAACTAGAGTAATACTGCCTCTCTACAAAAATTAAGGCGTGACCAAGCGCTTACCTCTTTTTTAACGGACTCTAAAGCACGAAGAAGACTTTCTGTTAGCCTCAGGTGAATAAAATCTTGGTTGCGTTCTTGGTGAATATATATAGGCACCGTCATTTTTGATCGCAGCGCCATCTTCAATATCCAATATCGTTTTTACAAGCTAATTTAAACCAATTTGATTTCTTTGCGCTTGCTTCTTGATTGTAAGGTATAGGTTCCTGATCTTCCGTAAACTTCTGCGTAGCTCGTCCCGCCACTCGACTGTCAAAGCTTTGGTTGACTCCAAAGGGAGTAGTACTGGGATTAATTATATGTGGCTTGTAGTATGAGGTTTGTTAAGACTGTTACTACTGTGAATGGAGTTGATCCTTTCGCTAATCAATGTCCAATACTGGCTCTTACAAAATAGGAATTCCCCGCATTGGTTTGTATTGATCATTCACATACCATAGCAACCCCCCTGGCCGCGTTCAAGGAACTCAAGGTCAAACAAGACATCGTGGTCAACCACCTAACGAAACCGGATAAGGGCACTCAGTCAATGGCCGTAATTTCGTTAGCAAAGTAGTCGGCTCTTTTTTATCTCCTACTTGTAATCCATGGTGACAAGGTCACAATTAACTGAAAATCTTAGGTACTAGCATTATTGTTATATACAACATTTCTATATGTATATAAATATGACTTCGCTGCCACTAAAAACACCAAATAATAACTGCCATTAACAATCCTGTAATACTGTCGCTATAGAAGGTTTTAATATTATTCGATAAAATCAGATGCCATATTGCACAAAGTGTGAAAATTCAACAGTGTATCACTAGTACTGTTTTGAAATAAAGCAAATTACTTTTATTATTCAACCAAGACTTTTCAAGGAGCTTCCAACTCACATGGTCGGCCCATTGAACACGATCTCCAAGCTATCTCTTCCAAATGGAATATTATCCCACCATAGAAAAGAGGCCATATTCACCACCATACACATAGGAGGATTAGGGCAATGCCCTCAAACTGCAGGCCTATTTGTCTCACCAGTACCTTAATCAAGATACTAAGAAGAATCATCAAGAAAGCTATCACTGCATATCTGGAAAAGAACTAGTTGTCCATAGCACAGCATAGCTTCCGAGGAAACCGCTCATACCTGTCAAACCTTCTTATGGCGAGAGAAAGCTGGACCAAGTCAAGGGATAACAGAAAACCCGCTGACATCATCTTCATGGACTTCAACAAATCCTCCGGTAAAGTGCTTCACAAAAAACTGCTCAAGCCATTGGAAAGCCTTGGATTCAAAGGCAGGTTGCTAAACTGGATTAGGTAGTCCCACCCAGGTAGGAGACAGAAGGGTATGATCAACTGGAAAATTTTCTGCCGGACAACAGTACGTAATGGAGTTCCACAAGGCACTGCACTTGGGCCTCTCATATGCACTTTGTATATAAGTGAGTTATATTCGCTCAATGATTTCCTCAGGATCCTATTCTCAGATGACTTGATGTGGAAAGAGCTGAAGACAGGCGGTTATAAGCTCATGTTGCAGTGTGGACCTCAACCAACTGTTAGAGTGGTTCAAATAACGGATTCCCCCAATCAGCGAAGTGGAATGCGTAACCATGAGCATCGGACACTCAAGCATCAGCCCTACGAACTAGAGGGAATAAAACTCCCATCAATTCACCTCCTTATATACGTCTCTGGTGAGGTCAAGACTAAAAACTTCATTCAGGCAGCCTGCCCCTGCTTTAAAATGACTTACCTAATCCAGAAAAGGTTTAAAGGGAGGCGGAACGTATGATTCTCGACATGACTAATTTATGATACGAAGAAAGACTAGACAGCTTAAATCTCTTCTCCCTATTATTCTGTAGGCAGAGGAGATTTAATTTCAATGATTACAATTTTTAATGATGACTGAGGACCTGATCCATTTTCTCTTTTCCTTCCCACCAGATCAGAACGCCTTAGAGGAGATGGTAGGAGAGTTCAAAAGCCAGGTGAAATCCGTGTTGCTCCAGAGTATTGGTTCTCACGTGGAGCCATATACATCTGGAACCGACTCGCAAAGGAAGTGGTGCCAGCTAACTCAATTGACTCATTCAAGAAGTGTTTGGACAAGCACAGGAATTTAATGGAGAAGGATTAGCATAGACTTAAAGCTTTCCGTCCTCAATCAATAAATCTGATCACGTTCGTACCCGATATGCGGGTGCCCAATGTGTCTGTCTCAAAAGATGTCAGGCCGCTGGAATACCTGAATCCTAAGTCATCTACACAGTGGAGTCTCAACAGACTGAATGTTTAATTTAATATCAATTGAGGTGCTCCGAGGCAGGTTCAACCACATTTGTCCACGTTGAATTGCAGGTTCCATAAGGATGACCGCGCAGTCACTTTATGTAGTTCATTCTGGACAACGTTCTGAAAGTATACCAGGTCATCGCGATGGAATGTATAAGTTGTTTTCAGGTCGTCTGCAGGAGTGAACCGCTTGCCATGTGAGAAACAGGTCCATTTGTCATTGGCATGTAGTGTAAATATTCGGGGCCCTATGAGGCTACCTTCAACTACACCAGAAGCGATTGCACTGGGCTTAGAAGCCACAGACCCAACTGTGATTGTTTGAGACCTGCACTGGAGAAGAGATTTCAGCCATCCTGATAGTGGGTCTTTCGGAGTTCAGTCCATGTATCAGCAGCAAACGGTCGAGACTGTCAAATGCTTTAGAGATAGCAACTTACCACTCGACGAAGGAAAACTATATGAAGACCACTCCGAGATATGATAGTTATTTCTCTTTCGCTTCGCTCAAATGATGAGTGGGCCCAGGAGCTTATCAAATTTATCTATAAATCCCAGTTGGTTTTGAAAAGGTTGAAGTTTCCATGTAGGATGCTATGTTTGCATGGGAAAGTTAGCGCTGGCTCCAGAGAATAAATAAGTTGGGTCTCGCAATCCGTGAAGGTACCAGGTGCACCCTTAGTGAATCCAATGGGTACCGTGGTATTTCTGGAATGTACATTGACCCATAGGGTGTCGTGGACGATGTTCTCTGCTTTTTTGGCTGTAACGCAGTAGGCGTTCATTGATAGTCCCCATCACCACCACTATTCCTGCCATACAGAAACTGTGTTTACTCATCAGCACTTATCTCTTCGTCCGATTTATAGGAGTAACACCAAGAATTGTTAATGATAGTGATGCGGGTGTGTTTGTCCTGAGCATCTATAGTTTGTTTAGGGCAGATCTAAGATTAGTAGGGACCAGGTTAAGTTGAGAGGTGAAATAATGCTTCAAGTGGTTGAAACAGTTATTCAGACTCAAGTGTATTAGATAGGTGGAGGCAATCTGCAGGAAGCCTCGGACCTAGGTTTCATGCAAGTTGGCACACCTCAGCGAGAGCTCCAATCTCAGAAGGGACATGAGTTCCCTAGAGGTTCCAAATACACTTTGCTGATAAATGCCAACTAGCACGAAACCCAGGTCTAAGATTTCCTGCAGATTGCCTCTAATCATCTTATACACTTGAGCCTGAATAACCATCTAACACCAACAATCCACAACGCACTGTGATGGTGAGCCACCTAGAATGGTGGCAACATTACGAGTCAGCACCAAAGATAGGACTAGACACATTACACTAGCTACTGACCGGTGTCCAATCAAAAGTGAGCTCATGTGCCCTCCGGCATCCAGTGGTTCTGGATGGCAAAACGATCATATGTTATGAGCATTGTCAGCATTATGTCAACCTACGCCTATTCAGATACTGTCTGCTCCTTTTGGGGAAAAATATTTTATTCACGTTAATTAAGCATTCACGTGATGAATATTCCCCTTTTACAGGCTTCATCATATGTGACAAATGCAATTTTAGAGTAAACACTGGCTAATAACATAAATTTTAAATAAAGGGAAATATTCAAAAATCTAGACAGGCATATCCTGAAGGTAACTTTCAATCGAATAAGTTACAACACATTACTATAAGCTTCTAAACCACTTAGTTTTTACCTCTACTAATGGCAATCGACTTTCAGATGACAATGGCTACAAACTAAGATACACTAAGGGTACAGTAGCTGTCGAACAATGTGAAACAGCCATCGGGCAGAAGTTTTACTTGATTAGGTATGCACAGATATGGAATAAACTACCAATGGAAATGCATCAAGCAAGTACATTGGCCGCCTTCGAAAAGGTGCTTAATGACAAACTAAAAGAGTTTGCAAACGACAGTAGTTCTAGTTCCTATCTGAGAGCCTCCGAAATTATAGGTTCATTTAATGTATAAGCTTAAATACTACACCCGTTGTTTTTTCCCACATTTATAATTTCAGATAAAACATTAACGATTAAGATACTTACCCTCAAACAGACAAGAAGTTTCGTTTGTAAAACTTCTACCCAACACAATAAGTGGAATAAAATGGACAAAAACCGACAACACGAAAAAGGTATAACTCACCACAACATCACATGGACAGATGTAAGCTCGTTGGGCACCATATATACCTCACCAACTACAACTCACCTTTCCTAGGATAATGTGATGAACTTATATCCATAATGTTGCTGAGCAGTTAATATTCTCAACTCCTATCGGAACAGCCGAAATTCATAAACTTCCCCACGCTAAGAAAATACCCACGAGCGGCAGAAATCCATTAATTAATGCGTCTAAAGCTTATGTATTTACTCTCAACAATGACAGTGCAGATCAAATGAGATAAACATATCACCAATTTCAAAATAACACATCAATGAACTATAACTCAAGGACTCTGCACAAAGCAAAGTCATGTATGAAAATTGACTTCAAGCTTTATTTTTTTTCCCAGACACCTATAACCCACCCACCAAAGACCTGGTTATTTTGTTAATGCGAAGATAATACTTCTGTATTTCCTGATGTGTTGCACTCACTGACAATCTAGCAGATTTTTCCAACTATGCACAGAAACGATTGTACATAAGTGAAAAGGATGTTTTATACTATTGGGATTAACATTTATCAGGTGTATGTATAATCTCCAGCGTACATGTAAAGCATATCTTGCTAAAGACTGTAAATTGTGATTGAATTATATGGTCCTATTTCTGTAACAATTTGATGATGCCTATAAACTGGCGTCCCTCGTGTACTGTACTATGAGAATAAATTTATTCATTTATTTATATTAATTTAAGTCCAATTTTAGTCTTTAATATTCCCATTGTCTGTCAATTACACCCGAGAATTTCAAAAGTTTACGCCTTTGAAAAATGAGAAGATATCTGATTTTCAGGTGC